ATATATAAATGTTCCTAGCTTAATTTTGTCTACAACTCCTGCTCCCTAATTTCAATTCAGGAGTCTACAGAAGAGATCATTTACTGATACAGTATTCCTGTAATTCTTTTAAGACTGTCTCCTGAAATTCAGTCTTAACTTTCCTTTGGAACTGAGCTCAACAACCTCTCTTCCTACATACACACACCCTCAGAATTCCCACAGCACTGATTCTCTCCATCATTTTTATCTGTCTCCAACCAGGTAAGTCTTTTAGGGCTGTTTGCAAATATTCTCAATAAATGCTGATAACATATTTACTGAGAAATAAAAAAACATATTCTTTACAAAGGGATGATCTGCAAAGGAATCCCAGATGATTGATGGATAGATCAAAGCCTTTAAAAATTAAAAAAAGAAATGCACCCCAAACAGCATTACTTGGACAGGCTTTTAATTTTTTATTTTTTTTTGGCTTTAATTTTTTTAACTCAGTCAATAACACTTTTCTTGCTCAACACACACCCAGAACCTCATTAGGCTAAGCTACATTGAACTAAAAACGTACATAGCTGTAAAAACAAACCGCTTTTCTACTCATAAAAAATTGTTCAAATTCTAGTTACATTCGTGTATAGCAGGAAATTTCACCTTTGTCTTTAAACTAGAAAGGAAAAAGTTTAAAAGAAAAGGATAATAATTAATTGATAAACCAGGGGCAAAGTCTTAAAAACAGAACACTCAAAGCTAGTGGTAGTCATGCTATATTAATTTTTTGTACCGTTACTGCCCATTCATCTTTTAGATGAATTATACTACAAACTCTATATAGTTAACTGTCTTAAATGTTCTTCTAAAGAGTTCTGTCTACAGCAGTGGTTCTCAACATTTGACAAAGTATGGAGACATTTGTAGCTGATACAATGGCAGGGACCTGGCCGGGAGGTGGGAGAAGATTGCCGGTGCTATTGGCATCTAGCACTCTTAGTCAGCGCTAGTGCTGAACATCCTACAACGCACAGGAGAACCACCAACAACAAAGAAGTCATCACCTGTCCCACAGGTCAACAGTGCCAAGGCTGAGAAACCATGGTCAACAGAAATTAAAAGACTTCCCTTTAAAGATTTGTAACTAGTTCTATACAGAATAGTCAAGTATATAAAATTTAAAATGACAACAGGTACAAAAATCCATTTAAATACCTAAGGGAAATTTATACAACAGTAGTTTTCATGAAACCAATTTGTTAATGCCACATATTTAAATATTTCCTATGAGAATCCTAGAAAATCTTAGCAAAATGCAGTTACAATATGAAAAAAACTACAGGTACCATACAGGAAGAGAACAAACAAGGGTATGTGGATTGATTTACGGGCATTTTACTTCAGTGAACTTCAAATTAAAAAATATTCTGCATACTGAAATGCAAGCAAACCTTTAATTACAGGTAATGCTTAATGTTTAAACAATTAAATTAGGCTGCATTTAAATCTTTTAATCAGTAATACAAACCAGGTTCAATTATTTTTAAATAATTAAAAGTATACCTACACTTGACAAGTCAGGAGAGCATGGTACAATATAAACACCAGCAAACTTAGATCTAAATCCCAACAGTGCATGTTTGCAGACAAATAATTTAACTTCTCTGAATCTCAATGTTCTCATCTAAGAAATAAAAACTCTCATTCAAGGACCTGTTCTTGAGAATTAGCAGTAATGTATATAAACTTACATACATGGAGCTGCGAGTTCCTTTACAAATGATGATTGTTAACACCAGTTAACAATTTATAGTAAGTAACAATATAACCTATGAGTACAGATCATAGCTTTACTCTGTCCTCATAAGCTGCAATTCACTTATGTAATTCAACTAAAAAAACACCTATTAAGTGTACTTTAAATCAATTTTCTATTCCTTGCAACTCTGGAATATTACTTAAACTTACAGATTTAAATAAATTAATATCTCAGACAAGTGACAGATTGCCAAACAAAGTCTCATGGAAAAAAGGCTTACATGGTTTATTTATTTTTAGTAAATAACATATTAGAATGACTCAAAATTCAAAAGGACTCTTTTGATGCCTGTTGCCCCAGACACCCAATTCTCCTACAGAGAAACAATGTTACCAAGCTCTCATTAATCCTTTCACCTATCCAAATACATACTCCCCTACTTCTGACACTAATGGTGGCCTCCTCTCACTATTCTGATTCTACCCTGGACTTTTCACATTTAATTTATCTTGATGCTGTATTTTAACTAACAACACACTCCCAACAGTGGCCACTGACAACTTCTTACCGCCAGATGTAAGCTATCTTTACAAAGGGGGGAAGGGAAATCCTTAAAATCAACCGAGATTCTTAGTAAACACAAAACTATGAAATAAACTTCAGTAAAATGAAGATTTACATAGATGACATGAGGAAATACTTGAATATTACACCGGCCACTCAAATACTGCATTTACATACACAAAAAGGAAACATGTGGACTGTACTTCAATGTACTGAAAATAATCAACAGAATCCACCTATAGAATTGGACTTGTTAAGTATCAATGAAACAAAATATATTGGTGAAAATGAAGCTATTTATTGGTTATATTTTCCAATATTAAATTATCTGACCCTTTCCTAAATGTTCTTTCTGGAAGAAGTTTCATTTCACATTTATAAAGGCACTGTTCTTAAAAAAATAATTTTCCTGTTTGGATTTTGTTTTCTTCCTCTGAAACACTACGTCACTTACTTGAAACAAGGTTTCATCATTGCTTATATATAAAAAGCTGTATTATTTTAACAATATGCATTACTAGAGCAATACAAGATTTCTTTTAAACTTCAAGTACTAAGAATATCATGGTGAAAAGTCACCTCACATAATGCAGACACTATACAAATTACGAGAGTAGTGACCACTTCTAAGTAATAGAAAATAAAGCATTAAAGTTTTATATTAAGTTTCAGGCTTGTACAACTGTATTAAAGAAGAAATGTTCTAGGCTACTGGCAATATTAGCTGCAAACTTTCATTAGGAAGATATATGTCAAGTATCCTGGAAAATATTTTCTTACTAAAGAAAAATTTAGAATCACTGTCTCACTATGTATCACAGTGCAGGTATTTATGATTCTTTTTCTGCACTATACCACAAAAACACAAAGTCATCCTTCCATTCAGAGTTTTGGCACCTGAACAAATACAGAGGTCAGAGTTCAGACACATGCTCTATGAAACTAATCATTACTTATATACTATTATACTCAATAAGTCTGCTAGGATTTGGCATTTTTAAATAATTTTAAAGAATCTTCTCCACGTCTAACTGTAAAGATACACAATCACTTCAGATTCAGTGGCACAAAGAGTTCAAGCGCTTGCTATCAGACTTGTCAATAACTCATCACATACTTACATTGCTGAATTTCACAAATCTTTGAGATCATTAGTGTACCAACGTAAGAGAAAAACACAAATAGCAATAATATATTCGATAATGATCTGTGACATCTTGAAAATAACCATTCAGTATTTTTAATCTTTGTCGAGTCCAAGGAGGAAAAACAAACTAACATTCTTGTTGATTTTGGGTGTGAAGAACTAACTGTACTATACTTTCATACTTTTGAGTCAAATTACCAAAACATTTAAAACACATTAACAAATGTGGCCAATATCAGCGAAATCTAAAATTTCTACAGGACTCAAGAGTAGCTTGAGACAAAAAAATTTTTAATCATTTCAGATATATGTCGGAATAAACCTACTTAATAAGGAAACATAACAATGTATTAATCTGAAATCTCATGTTTTTAAGTAGGACAATTTTTCAAAAGTAAATTAACTATGGAGACATCATAATGAAGTTTCATGGCACAACACAACAGTGTCACAAAGGCATTGTCTTAGGACAGACCCTCTCATCTGTAACTTGCAAACAGAATTTTGAAATAAGCTACTCATATCCTCCACAATTTTTTCCTAATCCTAGCTAAAAATATTTAAACGCCTTTAATATACCGAACGTGCCTTTACCCAGTCAAAAAGCTTCAGATGTCAATCGAAAAAGAGGCCTAGAATGTCGGAGTAAGTGGAAATGAGAGATAATGGTCTAATACGGAATTAATTTTCTACCCCAGGTGAAAATTCCCTTATCGCCCACTCAAATAAGCTAGTACCCCATTATGTCTTCTCATTTCTCCCAACACCCAAGCGAGAGGGAGTTAAGTCCGAACGTCCTTCTTTCATCACTCACTCCTTCCGTAAGGAAAGGACGGTGGCAGCCAGACCGGCTATAACCCAGAATACCCTGAAAAGTGTGGGCCTTTGAGCAGCGCGGCTCTCCGGATCCAGTTACCACCTTTCCCCTTCCCCCAACCCACTTCCCGGGTTTTCTCAGGCTCGGCCTGCTACCTCCCCACCCTAGTCACACTTCCAGCTGTTGCCACTGCCGCGGGGCGCTCTCTGGAGCTCACAGCCGCCGATAAGCGCCCTTTCTCCATCTGCCCCCTAAACCTTACTCCTCCCCGGACCCCCCGCCCGCGAGACGGTCCAGCCCAGGGCCCGCGGAGGGGAGGGGAAGGCGGCGGAAGGAGGGGGAGACTGCTGCTTCCCCACAGGCAGAGGGCGGCCGCAAAGCAGGCCAGCCGGGGGTTACCAGGGATATTGGGACTGCCACCGGAAGGGCCCTCCCGCCCTGGGCTGAGGTGGGGGACGTCCGGGAGTTCATTTCTGACCTCCTCGCTCTTCAGCACCTCCTTGAACTCCCGCTTGATTCGCTGCACCGCGATGTTGGCCATGTCTCCGCCCGCAGCTGATTCGTACCCGCCTCCTCCGCCACCGCTACGACCACCGCCACCGCCGCCACCTCTTCCTCCACCGCCTCCGCCCCCGGCGATTCACACCCGAGCACACGAACGCTGCCACTGCCACCCCGACCGCCGCACTATCTTCAGTGTGGAATCACCTCCGCGCCCGGCCACCAAAATGGCGCCGGGTCCGCGCATGCGCACGACGCTGACCCGGCCGGGCGGCGCAGCCGCTCCCGATGTAGTCCCATACGCCTCAGCCGCGAACCTGCGCCGCGCCGTGCGGCGCGTCTCTGCCTTGCTGCGGCCGCGTGGCTCCGCCCCGCCGGCGTCTGGGGCCAGGAGGGTGCGGCTTCCGCGCGGGCCGGGGCTTCCCGGGCCTCACGGGTCGTCTTCGGCGCCTCCGCCTCTGTACGAACGTAGGTGGTACGGTGGGGGCTTCCAGACCTTCGTCTCAAACCGAAGGTTCGAGTCCAACCTGACGGGTTCACGCGGTCCTCTCTGGGCTTGGAGCGTCGCCCTGACTCAGCCAGACCACGGGCTTTATGTATCCGGCTGTGTCTAGTGTCGGAAAACACTGTCCGGGAACTCGGTCTGGCCCATTTTCTCTTGGTTCTGAAAAGCCACTGCGGTTCGTTTTTGTCCTGCAGCCGTTACAGTTCTGTTACTGCAGACATCCCAGGATCTTTCCAGGTACAACAAATCATTAAATTAAGTATGGTCATTGTTGTATCTCAGCTGTAATTGAGACCGGGTCTCAGTGGAGACGCCTGAGATGGGTTTAGAAGCCAGATGTTGATCTTTGGCCTACTTAGATAATTAATAACAAGCCGTGGAATTAAAACCATAGCTTTAAAATTTGAATGTACATCAGGATCCCTGGAGAGCTTAAGAAAAAACAAAAAAGAGTGTAAGGTGGGCCTAATTTGCATTTTTAGCAAGTTCTCAGGTGCTGCTGGCTCAGATTCCACAGTATGAGAACCACTGAACTAACATATGCGAAATTAGTTTATGTTAAAGGGAAAACTAGAGAAACCTGTGCTTCTTGGGGAGGAAGGACAGCGTTACTTCTGCAAGCCTAGAGTATACAACAGTGGCTGGTGCTAGCAGGCACTCAATGAATATTGAATGAATAAATGAGTAAAGAGTAAATGTTTTAAGCGGGAAGTAAATTTGAAAGGCAGTTTAAAAGTGGTTGCTAGGGCTGCCAGTAATATGGTTTTGATACTAAGGGAGCTTTGAGTAGAAAACATTTTTGTAATAAATAATATTTATTTAGAAGTTTATATTTCATGCAGTTCTTTCACCTAACTAATCAGTAAAGCATCCTGTTAGGAAAATATCACAAATACACCATCTTAGCAAAAATTACTAAAATAGTGGCAGTAAAAAAACAAGCCCCTGGGTATGAGTCATTCAGTGGAGGCACATGGCAAAAAAAAGAATTTCCTGAACTGCCGCAGGAACCAAGAGGGGATTTTAAACTCCAGCCTTCTTCCATACCAGCTCTCTCTCTTTCAACCTGGATTTCCTCTTCTGCAAAATAAGGAAGCTGGATGAGCTGATCTCTTCCAAGTTTTAAGAGTTTAGAATTCTAAAGCATCATCTGGAAACATTGCCCAGAACGGGAGAACTATAAAAACCCTTCCAGCAGAGCCCCCTAGTGGTCCTAAGGCGAACTAACTGTACATGTGGGTCATGGCACAATAAAATATGGTATAATGTAGAAGTCTTGCAATGCTATGTGTATTTGTGCCAGTACATTAAAAATAATTATTTCAATGTGTGTGAAAACTTTTTGAATACTTTACCTTTATCACTTCATTCAGTCCCCCATATTCATCTTGGCGCTTCAAAGAAATTTAAAACACTCAAATCACAGGAGAACTAATTAGAAAGGTATGCTAATTTCTTTGGGGAAGAGAAGCTTGGTAATTTTTAAACGCACATAATCACTGCCCTGAAATTCCACTTTCGCTACATTTTTACAGTCCTTCCTATTTACAGTCCTATTAAAGTCCTTCGTATTTACAGAATTCAAGGCAACTGCCAATTAACTGACATGAGGCAATCCTCAAAATGTATTTTAGGGAGAAAAAGAACACTATGCTGAAAGTGATGTGGTATCTTGGATTGGACCCTGGAACCAAAAGGACATAATTAGTGAAATCTGAATAAATTTTGTAATTTAGTTAATAGTGTAACACTGTTAATTTCTTAGTTTGACGTGGTACTGTGATTATGTAAGATGCTAACATTAATAGAAGTTAGTAAAGGGTATACAAGATTCTCTGAAACATTTTTGTAAATCCAAAATTATTCCAAAAGAAAAAGTTTACTTAAAAAATCATTATTGGGACTTTCCTGGTGCTCCCAATACAGGGGGCCCAGGTTCGATCCCTGGTCAGGGAACTATATCACATGTGCCTCAACTAAGAGTTCATATGCCACAACTGAACATCTTGCATGCTGCAACTAAGACCCAGTGCAGCCAAATAAATAATTACTGTTTTTTAAAAATTAAGATTCTGTCCAGATTATGTATAGTATACCACCATTTATGTGAGGGAAGAAAGGAATATGTTTGTGTATATGCTTGTGAATCCATAAAATATCACTGGAAAAATACATCAGAAACTGACAGCAATGATAATCTCTGAGATAGCAGCTTCAGTTCCTTGTGGAAGGCAAAGTGGAAGACTTCATCATGTATCGTATTGTATATTTTACCTATTCAACACTAAATTTTTAAAAATGAATTTCCATAATGCATGTTATAATCTCTTCACTGTTATGTAAGTTAGTGCTGATTACTTCATTAAATAATTAAATGAATAATTATTGAATGCCTACTGTGTGCCAAGCATGATCGAATAATCCCTTGAGGCATACCGTGAACAAGATAAAAAAAAAACCCTAAAAAAAAAACACACCCCTCAAATCGTAGGATTTACATTCTAGCAAGGATAAGGAAATACTCATCTCAGAAGATAGTCTGCAGTCACCTGGGAAGAGGGGTCCCTGAGATGTCTGTGATGCCTGAACTATTATCAAAACTAAGAGATTTATTTTCCTTTTTACTGTGTTGACATATGCACTGATGATGCAAAAGCAGTGTATGTGTGTTAGTCGAGTCCAACTGTTTGCAACCCCCACAGGATCTTCCCAACTAAGGAATCGAGCCCTGGTCTGCTGCATTGCAGGCAGACTTCACCGTTTGAGCTACAGGGAAGTCTTTAAAAAAAAAAAAAATGGTGTATTGGTGCTGTAAAAACAGTAGTGAGCAAAAAAATCACTGTGCTAGTAATAATGTTACTAAAGTCATCCACTCACTATTTAAAAACTGTCTGTTTTACTTTAGAATGTCTTCACTGAAGCAGTTGGGATTATTAATTATATTAAACCTCAACTTTCAAGTGAAGTCTTGATGTTTTGTATGATACATGGAAAGGGAGTTTCCCTGGTGGCTAAGACAGTGTTTTTCACTGCCTACAATGCAAGAGACCTGGGTTTGATCCTTGGATTGGGAAGATCCCCTGGAGAAGGGAATGGGCAACCCACTCCAGAATTCTTACCTGGAGAATTCCATCGACAGAGGAGCCTGGCGGTCTACAGTCCATGGGGTGGCAAGGAGTCGGATATGACTGAGCGACTCTCTCACACACACACACAGGAAAAGGATACATAAAGGACTTGTATACCAAAGCTCATGGTAAAGCACTTGTACAAATGGTTGAGCTGCAACCTGGACTTAATCATTTTTTTCATGGAACACTGTTTTCACTTAATGATTGAGACAAACAACTTTTCTTAAGAGTTGGCTATTTGGCAGGTGATTTATCAAAAATGAACAACGTAAGCTATCACATCAAGGAAAATAACTGACAGAATTTGTTAAACATGATAAATTCAAGCTTTCAACTGAAAAAGTTTTACAAAACATGCCTGCCATTGTGACTTGATAGCTTCCCAATATGCTTAAAGACCTTTCTGATTAAATTGGGTGATATTGACAAATATGATTACTAGAAATCATACAGTGGAGTATGTCAACATTTGGAAGAGCTGCATAAATTAGTGAGGTAATAATTGGTCCAAATACCAATGCATAGTGTTACAAAATCATCATGGGGAAAACATACATTCAAGGGTCAAGACAGACTGATGGATTTTAATGTAACAGTACAAAAAATTCATTCATAACATTTCAGCTAACCTTTGAGAAACTACTGTTTGTCTAGATTTAGTGTAGTGTTAATAATATCCACAGTTATCTGAAAAGGTTATTAAAATATTCCTTCCCTTTCCAATCTGCATAAGGCTAGATTTTCTTTATGTACTTCAATCAGAGCAACATGTGCAACATATTAAATGCAAAGACATATATTAAAATGCAGCTGTGTTCCATTAAGCCAGCATTAAGGAGATTTTGTTTTGGAAAATAGTTATTTTTCACTGAAGTTATACTATTTATATAAGCATATAATGGATTTTATTATAGTTATTTATTAGTAAATATTTCAGTGATTTCTTACTTTTAATTTCTAACACAATGCTCTTTAACCCATGTAAACAAATTATTATTGGAATCCTCAATATATTCTTTAAGAGTATAATGGAGTACATTTGAGCATACTGTACTACCTCCCAAGTGTCACAGTTGGTAAAGAATCCACCTGCCAATACAGGAGACCCAAGAAACACTGGTTTGATCCCTGGGTCAGGAAGATCCCCTAGAGTAGGAAATGGCAAGCCACTACAGTGTTCTTGCCTGGAAAACTCTGTGGTCAGAGAAGCCTGGTGGGCTACAGTCCATGGGGTCACAAGGATTTAGACACGGCTGAGCACACACCACTTGGTACCTGGTGCCTGTGCCTGTTTAAATGTGCTGCTTAAGCATGAGATCTAGATGTAAAAAGTTCTCCACTTTCAGAATATATAATGTATATAAACATTATTTATTTGAAGTTTGTGAAATTGGCTTTAGACGGATGGAGGAAAGTTCATCTGCTAACTCTCTGTTGCCTCTAACAGAACCATGTGTTTTGATATGTTGATTCACATAAAAAGAAATGTGGCAAGGCATAATCGTGCTTTACTGACCGTTAATAATACTCCCCTACATTGGAAACATGTAAGTCTTCCTTTTTGTAGAGCCTACTAGTTACTATGACTGCTCTACAGATTCAAATATCCTGTTCTATATGTAGAGGAATTTTTTTTTTTCCTACAGCCCTTTCCTGACCTTGTGTTTTGCCAGTTTTTTGAGACTTTTTTCCTCTGTCTCTCACCACTGCCTATTCTATCCAAGCCTCTCACTTAACTCTCCTTTTGAAACATCCAGTCGTAATTCTAAGGTCAGTTTGCATTTTTTTCCCCCTCTTTCACTGAGTCCTACCCTTCCCATCTTGTTAGCTCCTCTCCCCTACCCACCCCAGCTTGGGGTGAGGAACTCTAGCAGCAAG